CTCTCTCTCTCTCTCTCTCTCTCTCTCTCTCTCTCTCTCTCTCTCTCTCTCTCTCTTCCCCCAGCATGTATACACACATCACGGTTGCTGTTTTTTTTTGTTTTTTTTTTTGTGCGCGCGCACATCTGTGATTAGCGCACCGTGTACCTCGCAGCGTACTGTGCAGCGCACTTCACCTACGCGCCGCAAGTATGTTATTTACAGTTTACCAACAAATCTTGGATTGACGCTCAGCCAAAAGTTGTTTGATTTACAATCTTGCAGATCATTTTTAATTTTGTTATTCCCCTTTCTTTTTTGTTGTGCTTGGGGTCGTCGAGCATCTTGCCTACGACGTTGTCTTGACCTTGCCCTACTGGGCCGCCCAGCCAGCCCAAGGTGGCCTGGGCGGCCCGGCTGGCGGCCTTGATGGCCTGTAACCCTGCGGCGTGGCTGGTAGCCTAGATGACTCGTAACCCTGTGGCTACACCTAATTTTTTCCCATTTTTCTTTGCACGGGTTTTGTCTGAGAACTTGCCCAGGACTCTGCTCGGACCTTACCCTGCCGGGGAGCCCAGCTAGGCCAAGGTGGCGTGGGTGGCACAGCTGGCAGCCTAGATGACTCGTAACACTGTAGCTGTACCTATTTAGTATTTACACTTGTGCCCCTTCCGGGGCATAGAAACACAGCACAAGAACAGAGTTAGCACTTGGCACAGACTCACACTTATCATAGAGCAGATAGATTCACAGACACAGCAAGGCTCTCAGACTTAGAAATCTTGGCAAATCAGACCAACAGAGCAATTTTCCCATTTTTCTTTGCACGGCTTTTGTCTGAGACCTTGCCCAGGACTGTGCTCGGACCTTACCCTGCCGGGGAGCCCAGCTAGCCCATGGTGGCGTGGGTGGCACGGCTGGTAGCCTAGATGACTCGTAACACTGTAGCTGTACCTATTTACACTTGTGCCTCTTCTGGGGCATAGAAACACAGCACAAGAACAGTGTTAGCACTTGGCACAGACTCACACTTATCATAGAGCAGATAGATTCACAGACACAGCAAGGCTCTCAGACTCAGAAATCTTGGCAAATCAGACCAACAGACAGCAATTTCGCAGAAAATGCAAAGGGCAATAGTGTGAATGGTGTGTGGTTGGTTTGCCTGTTTAACTTGTCATTCATCCTGCTTCATTCTGTGATCAGCAATCATAGGGATATTGGCCGTTGTTGTGGTAATTTGGTGGCACGGTGAGGTGGGTCCACACCATGTGGGAAGGTGGCCATGAAAAGGCGCTTGTCCTGAGCTGTGTCAGGGCTACCTTGCAAAACAGGCGACTTTGCTTGCTTCAGGAACGGGTGTGCCGCTAGCTACAGGGAAGGAAAGGAAAACTTTTCATTCCGTACAAGGGAGGGAAAACTCATAAACTGCCCAAGGCATTTATTTCCCAATTACTCTGGTTCAGTACTTGGCTTTGGTTGTAGGTGCTGCTCTCCTCTCTGTCACACACAAAACAGAACGTAATGCAAGGAGACTCTCACTCATGCATCATCCATGTCCATATGTGTGTGCGGATATGGCAGTCACAGCAAGGAACTCGCCGCGCAGTTCTCAACATCAATTACAGAATTACAAGAACTGTATACTGCACACGATCCAGTCCATTCTCAAGGTACAAATGAAGATGATGCAGCTATGGTGGGCCTCCCCCACAGAGTATGTACACACACTTGCAAATCCGAAATCACAGGACAGGCACAGTTTGCACAGTCCAAAGTGAAATTCAATGGAAGATCCAGTTTCGAAAACCCTGTCACTGGCTGATTCAGAAAGGCAAATCAGAGTTCAAGGCAATCTTCAGTTGATACAAACTCTCGTAGCAACAAGTATGTCTCCTCCTTTCCTGTCAGGATCTCGCCCTGAACATCGAAGTGTTGATCCTCACCATCGACACGATTCCACGCCCACTGAAGTACTATGCTACGAGTGCTCTGGTACGGGCGCTATTCTGCTCGAAGAAGAATGGAAGTCATCGATTACCCAATTGCAATCTGAGTTGTCCTACTACACAGGTATGACCACCTTCTTCTTTGGCCAAGTCTCTTCCTCTTAAAGCGCACTGCAGAGTGTTCCAAAACCTAGCACCACGCCAAATAAACCCTGCAAAAACGAATTCTGAAGTTCTGTTTCCCATGGGTACTTCATTGTTACCCCTGGAACCCTCTGGATACATGCTGGAAACACACTTACCGCACAAGTGGTACTAAGCATTGACTTCACGTGCACACAAGAACAGGCCTCAGGTTCAGGACTCCACAGGCACAGTCAATGCTCACAGTACTGTACATCAACATGAATATTCACAGGTAAGTCAATGGCAAGGTTCCGGGTTCAAACTCCAGCCATACCACTCAGGAATACAACACAGAACAGCAGTCAATAACAACAGGTCCTGGGATTGAATCACGGCAGGCAAGGAAGTTGAATCCTTCCAACAATCTCCTTTTCTCCAAAACGCTCATCGATTAAGAGCACAATTCTATGAGTGCCTAATCAGCCAACTATGTCGATTTTGCAGAAAACAAAACATTTGCTGTACTTATCTAGGCAAGCCAGTGTACTTGGCCCAGTAACTACATGCTGGCTGCACAAGTAGCACAGGCCCAGGCATGACCTGATAAGAACTGTCGTTTTAGGCTCTTAGGCGTGCCTGATAAATTTAGCTGATACTAAGTGCCTGATAAATTGAGCTGATAAGAACTTGGTAAATTTAGGTGCCTACGCATGCCTGATATCTATGTTGTTTTGAGTATTTTACTATAATGTATGTGATCATTATCAGTTTGTTGGGTTAGCCCTAATGCTGGTGTGTCCAACACAGTTTGAAGTTTGACCTCCTTATTTGATAACCATCACTTCTAGGTACTTACCATTCATCCACCACGGGATTTGAAAGAAAATCAGGAAGGGAAATATAATCTTTCTTGGTGCAGCTTTTGATCTGAAAGGTCTTGACAACTACATCACTTTTGAGCCAGGTCTGGCCCTGGTCTGATCTGGCCTGGCGTTTGAGTCCATTTTTTGCCATGCATAGTGGTAATGGATGTCTTTCACTTTTCATGCAACCTTGCTACGAGTCTAAAGTGGTTGGGCATGTGCATCTGTGCTGTTATGCTTTTCACACAGGAACACCATACAATGGCTACGGCTCAGACGCTCGTGCTGTCGACGAGTATTCATACAAGTAAGTAATTGTTGTGACCTCTTGCAACAAAGCTCTCACTGATGGGAATCCTTGTGTGTAGAATAGTCCCTGCCCTTCTTTTGTTTGCAAGTTGGGTCTGCTATTGTGCCTCATTCTGTGTCTTGCTGATGCTCCCGACATAAGATCTGTCCTGAGATGAGAAGAGGATGGGTGAAATAGAGTTTTGGGACCCTTGGGTGCATGTAGTTGCACTTGCTGCAGGGGAGGACTCATCTGATTCAAACTGTGTTGTAGGAGCTACGCATTGTTGCGCATCTGAATTCTTTGAATCTTTTTGGGTGCTGTCAATGGGTGTAAACAAATCGGGAGAAGGAAACTATTGATGTAAGAGGGAAGAGTGCGAGGCTCAAGGCCTCGACGAGCCCTACCGGGCCCTGTTTCTAGCACTGTCAGCCGCCCTAAGTGAAGGCAGGCCGACCAAGGACGAGAGGCCTATTTTGGACTACCATGCAACTGGGGAAAATTCAGGCAGTTGCGCAGCTCCGGTTGGTTGAGAGCGCCCAGGCCCAGGCTGCCTTTATCAAATGTATCTGAGGCAGGCCCTGGGCCAGACACTTGACATGGACCGAACACAGGCTGTGGGCAGTTGAACACGGGTAACCGCCCTAGGCCCTGGGCCTGATTCCCTTGGACTGGGGCTCAGCCACTTGGGGCCTACAGGAAGCTTCTTAGCAGGGGCCCAGTGCAGCCAGACCGCATGCGGCAGGCAGCCACTTCCATATAGGAAAGTGACTGACCCCGCATTTGGAATTCGGGCACTGGCTGCATGCTGTGCAAGCGCTGCTGCGCTCATTGCTGACCAGCGCCCACTCGCTCACGGGCGAGCAGGAAGAGCAGGCAGCCATAGCCGAGCTGCTCGGCGCTAAGCTGGATGGGGCGCATGGTGGTCCTTGGGTGCACGTGGCATCTGTGAGTGGGGGATCGAGGTTGTGAGTGATGCGAGAGACATACCTGGTGCTTGAGGCGAACGRCATTGGCCGAGATCTGCTCGTACTTCGGGGAGCTGTTGACATCACCAGCGGCATTGTAGATAGGCTAGATAGGATCTGCCATGCGTAGTCTGGGCGCAGGGCGCATGGTGTTCCTTGGGTGCACGTGGCATCTGTGAGTGGGGGATCGAGTGAGTGATGCGAGAGACATACGTGGTGCTTGAAGCGAACGACATTGGCCGAGATCTGCTCGTACTTCGGGGAGCTGTTGACGTCACCAGCGGCATTGTAGATAGGCTAGATAGGATCTGCCATTGTAGGCTGGGCGCAGGGCGCCAGATAGGAGATCGACATTGGTTCTTTGTTGATGATGATGAGACTATTCCAACATTATCACTTATGAGCTTTTGCTGCATTCTTATTTGGTGGAACTCGAGTTGCAATTCTGCTTTTGGTTCGAGGTCACGACTATCTGGTGTCATGTATATGATGCTGCTTGGTTTCTGGAATTCGCTATCGCTCATTTTCCTTGCATTTTGGTATCAGAGCTGTGGTATGTTGCGCTAATCTGGCGCGTGTCTTCTGCCTATGCGATACATGCATGTGGTCTGCTGGGTGAGCGGCCGTAGAGAGTGTGTAGTGAGGAGGGCGAAGGCAAGCAGGCGACCCAGGTGGAGAGGGGTATCGCCAGGAAGGCTATGAGGTGGTATATGGGTGTTTCGCAGTGCGATGAGAACTATCCAATGTGCGATTGATGCTGAGGTCGAACGGTGGTGTAATGCTGGTTGTGCCGAAGCAGCGATTGGTCATCACAATCGACATCGGGTCATCTGGTGAGAATATCTGTGGTTGGGGGCAGCTATTTTGAGGTACTTTGATCTTAACCTTATCTACCCTCTTCGACACTTCTTACCGTGAGGATGTGTGTTCTGTCTTGAGAGTCCTCTGAGGTGAGGAGTCGAGTGCACTCAACCTTGAGAGTCGGCATAGTTCACGTGGAGCACCTAGAAGGAGAGGGCGGAGCTATCTGAAGGGCCCTGGACGAAGCACTGGGTCACGGTCACCATGCCAACCCACCGGGAGTAGAGCACGCAAGCTTTGCTGGTTTGTCCTTTGTCTGCCTGCTGCGCTGATAGATGGGTTATGATGGGCAGGCCAGCCCTACAGGGGAGATGAGTACCGGACGTCTATAAATAAGCCCCGTCGGGGTTACCTTCCATTGGCTGTGATCGTCGTCCTATCTGCGACGTTGAATAATTCTTGAGGACTTCGGGGGCCGTCCTTAAACGCCTCTTGATCAGCCAATCGGTCGGTGTAAGGCTCGCTGCACGCGAGGGTAAACATGGTGCATGGCTGGCCGGCTCAGCATTGACTCGGGGCACAGGGGTGGGCTGTGTGCACAGCTTTAGACACACACGCTATCTGGATTGCTCAGGAATGCTGACGTCAAGCGACAATTAGGAAGAACCAAGGGAGGGGTAGATTTCATATGATAAGTTCGTGTACAATTCCACGCTGCAAACAGCCATGCAAATTATTCTATTTTTATTTTGATTAGTTAGATGTTACAGCCATTAACACATCTGACAGACGACGAAGGTAGAAATTACAGTTTCTTCTTATCTGCTTTCTATTTGCGAATTAGTCAAAGTAAATAGTCTCGTTTGTAGGAATTTGAACTTACCTGTTGAACCCAGTTGTGTATTATCTGTCGATGCCACCGATTATTTATATTTATTTAGTTTACATCGGTCTATGCACTACGTTGTGGTAGGCATCGAGTGTGACTTACTGCAGATTGTGTATAGTGTTGTAGCTTATGAGCGACAGGGAGGTTTTGATCTGGACGATAGGATCTTGCGATCGGGAAGACGCCCGTTGGCCCACGTGCCATTAGGACCCGAGGGTGATAGGTTCCTGTTCCGCCAGATTAGGGAGAGACAGCAGCAGCAGTGGAGAGCTATGCCTGCAGAGGCAAGCACGACGTTCGCAAGTGAAACCGCTACTTCAGCAGCCATGGCCACAGCTGCGGAGCAAAGCTCCTAGGCCAGTAGTTTAGGGACTGTAGGGACGACAATTGCACAGACCCTGAGTCAGTCCGCCGGCGTCATGGCAAGCCAGCAGTTAGTCTTAACTCCCGAGGACGTCGCCATATATAGGGCAAGTGCCCAGGAGGCATAGCTACAAAAGGCGTTAGGAGAGATACAGGCAGAGAAGGAGAGGATGCTCAGACATAGGATGAGGATGCAGCGGAGACAAACGGACCTTAGAGAGTTAGAGGAGATGGACTTGACTCATATGGATGATGATGTGAGGGTTGTGAGAACAACCCTGCTAGATGTAGCAGGAATGCAGGACTATCACACGACACTCTTGCAGGACATTCAACAGAGTCTGGCCGTTCTGGCCGGGAGAGTTCAGGTAGCACCATCACCATCAGGACCCGGTGCCTGTCCTGTGGTAAAACCTCCTCCTTTTGTCCCACCGGTGACTGGAGTATCCGCATTTGTAATCCCTTTAGCATCGGTACAGGGCGCTTCCCTATTAGGTATGTCTTTGACAGGCGGGTTCTCAGCGGATCCTAATGTACAGATTCCTGTACAGACAGTGTCTTCCCAACCTCCGTTACAGACTGCTGTAACTGGGCAGCCTGCTGTTACGCAGCCGGCATAGCCGCAGGGCACACAGCCCCAACAACAGCTAGTTCAGCAGCCTGCACCCCAAGGTCCATAGTCAGGAGTGGTGCAGGTACCGGGACAAGGACAGTCAGTTCCGAAGATTGCCATCGCCTCGCCTAAACCCTTCTCAGGGGACAAGAGGGGCGAAGACCTTGACACATGGTTGAGGTCAGTGCCAGTTTACGTGAAGTGCAAGTTAACCTTGCCACACGAGGAAGTGTTGGTGGCTACCTCCTTCCTGGAGGGGAGTGCAGCAAGATGGTTAAGCGGGCTAGTGCAACTACAGGGGTACGGTCATGACTTCCGCGCTTGGGCAGTCAACCAGAAACTGGATGACATCCTTAAGCTGGTGAAAGAAAGGTGGCATGATCCTCAGGAGGCCCAAAAGGCCACTGATGCGATACTGACTTTGAGCTCTAGGACGTTCAAGTCAGTAAGGGATGCCACAAACGCAGTGGAGCGTCTGATCTGTGTGCTTGGAGTGCTCTATGACCCCAGGTCTTGCTGACCACTTACCTGAGATGTCTTCCCATGCCACTCAGGAATCAATTGGCAGGCGAGGCCCGGATCACCATACACAACTTCCACTCGTTCACCAACAAGGCCCTGGACCTAGAGGCAAAGATAGGGCATGGGCACCGACCCACGACGGATGGTAGGAAGAAGGCACTGCCTCCCAACTGAAAGGCGAAGGGTTGCATTATGTTCGTCGATAACAATGGTTCAACCATCGAATTAGATGATGACTTCCAGGAGGGAGTAGGTTGAGAGGCGGGCAGCGTAGAGGCTTCAGGGGGTGGAGCAGTCACTGCCTTAGTCCTGAAAGGTAAGGCGACCGACAGACGCCGTGGAGGCTCCCAGTCTAGGAGTCAAGTGGACCCCAACGCTCCACCATAGGAGAAAGCGGGTCTCATAGAGGACGTGTGGAGACCCGCTTCCCAGAGTAGCAATGTTGCCAGCAGTTATGGCACTACTTCGGGAAACACGTCGGGCCAGTAGGAATGGTAGTTGTTCCTGCTAGTGTCTAGGTGGTGGACACACCCTCACCATCTCGAGAGATGACCCAAGCTACTGACTCCGTAGTCGTCCCGCAAACACATTCAGACCAATCAAACCTCTGTTCGATGAATGTATTAGAGTCCTTAGAGGAGCTAGAGGAGGAGTGGTCTAGATCGGACCCGCTAGCTTCTTGGACGGTCATGGCCAAAGCCCCTAAGGGTGAGTTGTTCTTCGGCGAGGTAGTTATCGGCGGCCGCAAGGCCGGGGCCCATTATGACACTTGCTCGACGCGAAACTTTATTAGTCGCGCGTGCGTTGAGAGGTTGCGATTACATGGGCAAGTGCAGCGCCCAGGTCGACTCCACAGTCGACC